TGATGATGATGATGATGATGATGATGATGATGATGATGATGATGATGATGATGATGATGATGCTGATGATGCTGATGATGCTGATGATGCTGACGCTGCTGCTGCTGCTGCTGATGATGGTGATGATGGTGATGGTGAGGAGGATGATGAGGAGGAGGAGGAGGACCTACCCATCCTCCAAGCTTCCCGTCCTACTTATGGTAGTGGTGGTGAAATATCGGCCTATCAGTTCTGCCGTCCACGTCGCAACACGCGTGGCAGGCACGAGACGGGGCCACGCCGCGCGCGACAAGAGGGGCGAACTGGCGCCCTCGCCCTCGCTCCGCGCCCGTTCTTTCCCGGGAACCTTGAGCTCCTGCTCGGGCGCGGCGCACACTCCTCGCGCGCCGAGTCGCCCTCGCCTCGCCGCCGCGCAGACCTCGTTCGAGCGCGGCACGCCCCCCTGTTCGCGTGGCACTGCTTCCGCGCCCGCCGCGCCCTGGGGCCCCGCGCGAGCGGGCGCCCCGCACGTGTTTCGCCTCGAGGTGGCGCTCCCGCGCGGGCGCGTCGCATGCTTCGTTCGCCGGAGCGCACGGCAGCGGCGGCGGCGGGGCCGTGCGAGTGCGGGCGAGATATGGCCTTCGCCCAAGATCATAGCAGCTCGTGCGCGAAAGCGGCAGTGCTGTGTCGGCGCGGCGCATGCTTCGTCTCCGCCGTGCTCGTCGGAAGGTTTGCCGCTCCCGCCCTGGCCCGGCACTCGTAGTTTTGCCGTTGTCACGTCGTTGGAAGCGGGACCGCGCGCGAGCGCCTTCCGCTCGCTAGGCGGAAACACGTTCCAATGCCAATGCCACATGTTGCCACAATCTTTTGTTGTGGTGTGGGAGCGGGGGTGGCAGGTGGGAATGGGCGGGGCTCGCTGACTCTCCTACGTTTTGGTCAACTTGACCCGCCTTCACTCCTTCCCTGTCCTCCCTCCCTCTTCTTGCAAACATCGGGAGACGGACAGTACTCGCCGCCTCCTGTTACCCACCTTTGAGGAAGTACTCGCTCGCCTCCTGCAAACAGTCGGGCCCCGATCTTTGAGGAAGTATCGGCTGTCGGCTAGGCTGGAGGGCACTGCACCTCCACAACATCGGGCTCTGGAGGCCCTGCGGGTGGCGGGCGCTTCTCATCTCCCTAAAAGGAGTCAGGCGAGGTCGGGTCTTGTGGACGGGTGTAGGGAGGAGGAGGGAGGAGGAGGCAGGGATGAGGAAAGGGGGTGGAGGAGGAAGGAGGGAAGAGGGAGTAAGAAGAGGACGGGAAGGAGGAGGAGGAAGGAGAAGGAGGACGAGGAGGAGGAGGAGGAGGAGACTCAGCAACGATGTTTGAAATACACCCTCTCTCCAAGATCCCTCTCCATAGGCCCCTACATGGTGTCATGCGCACTCGTGGAATTGCGCCGTTGGGGGACAACAGTGTAAACATCTTGAAGCGTGCCAAAACACCGCTCTCAGGATTTCAACGCAACGAGTCAACCTGACCGTTACGCCTCGGCGACCCGGAATCGTGCCAGAATGCCGTTCCTGGGCCTGCAACACCGCGAATCAACGTTACTGTTGCGCCCTGACTCCTGAATCGTTCCCAAGCTCCGTTCCTTGTACGTTAACCATGATAATATGTGAAGCCCTTGTAACAGTGTAAATCGAATCTGCGCAGCGCTTAGGCGAGAGCCACATGTTGAAAACCAACCGCCCTCAGTCCGTGAACCTCTTGCGAATTTTTGAAGCGAATTTGCGCGTCGCCATGGCGAGAGTCACATACTGAAAACGGCCTGCCCTCAACCCGTGAAACTCTTGTGCAAACTTTTAAAACACATGTGCGCGGCGCTGATGCGACAGCCACATTTTGGAAGCGATCCGTCCTCCATGTGTGAAACTGTCGTCAATTCTCAGTGTCAGGGCCATAAATGGTGAGGAAGTCTGAGGAGAAACGCCCGGCCCGCTCTTCGACAGGCCTCGGGGTGCGACAGGGAGGAGTTATCTATAAGGAAAGGGAATGGAGGAGGAGGGACAGGAGCAGCAGGAGGAGGAGGAGCAGGAGGAAGAGGACGAGGAGGAGGAGGAGGAAGAGGATATGGTGGCGTACAGCCTGACGCAGGGACGAAACTGTGCTCAGTGTAGCCCCCCGAGGGCCAGTGGGTCCGCCATGCCCGCGGCTGGCACGTGGCGAAGCGGGAGGAGGAAGACGACGCGGATGAGAGGACGAGGACGAGGACGAGGATTACGGGGCGCAGGCGGCCCACGGCAGCTTGCACCCAGTGGGGTGGAGGGCGTGTTGCGTCAACTTCTGGTACGGCGCCGATGAGTGCACCCACAGAGTGCGCAGCGGGGCCGTGAATCCCACGCCGACGCCGACGCCACCGATGCTGCCGCCAGGGCCTGCAGCTCGTGGAGGACTTCGACGCCGCGGGGCGCAGCGAGCGCAACGCAGCGCCGGCCTCCTTCGTGGTGAAGGCCGGCGAGGCGCTGCTGCTCTCGGTGAGGCGCTGGTGGCCGTCGTTGCCGCCGTAGCCGTCGCGGTCGCCGCCGCCGTCGCCTTCGCCGTCGCCGCCGTCGTCGTGGTCGTCATCTTGGCTCGAGGTTATTCTTTCTTGCGCCAGTCTGCGGTGAGGCGCCTGAAGTGCCATCGTTCCGCTACTATCGGCTGAGCGAAAGCCTTGCGATATTGCCTCCGTGCACGTGGAGCGACCAAACAACGTTCTATGGAGACCAAGCCTCTGTGTCAGGACTTGGCCGTATTCCACGAGGGCATCAGCAATCGAAGAGTCAAGTCGCCCCAACCGTTCTTGCCAGACCTGTGCGGTCGAACTTGGACTCGCTCTCAGAGGGGGCATCTCGTTGATGGTGTCCTGAGGCCGCAGGGTGCTTCTCCACCGAGAGCCTGCCTGGAGGGCTGCCTCGGGGGGGCTGCGCTAGTGGAACTGGCCAGTGCAGTCAGCCTTACCGAAACGCGGTTGGCGGTACCCGTTGGTCGTTGAAAGTTGGTATTTTTGGATTCCCACATTTCTATCTTCTCAAGCGCCTTTCTACTTCGAGAATCGATCTGCTTTTGCTGTGTTCGGTTATTCTCTGGGAGGGCCTGAACCCAATCTGCTTCATCCGCCTTCGTGCTTCGTGTTTTACCTACATCTTCTGACCGACGGGTACGCGTGTTGCGAGTGCAGCGTTGTGGAGGGACTCAAAAAAAGAACAGACAGTACCCGTCGACGCTCCTTGCGGAGTTCTTGGATCTGCGCTGGTCCGCGGACCTCCGATACATTATGTTTATGCAGTTTTTGTTCCTCCAGGGGCAGTGTGCTGAACGCTGTTGCACGGAGCTAAACCTGGCTCGGAATCCTGATGAAGGTGTCGGTCGCAATATGGTTACTGCCAGGCGCCATCTGCACGGGAGTAGAAACTAACGAACGCAGACGCAGGTGACTGTGGTGAACGACTCTTGGACGGGGAAGTTGGAGGCACACCGAGACTATTGCAGCACCATGGTCGACAGAGGCCGTTCGAGATAAGATGCTGCCATTCCTTAGCGGGACAGCGTGCCATGGCCAAGGCTATCCATGACGGAGATGTGCTGGAAGATACCGGTGCGAATCTGAAGCGCGCCCATATTCAGGCATTTGTTTTGTGGTATGTGAGGTTCCAGGTAAGTCAGGCCTCTTGTCGCTAGAGTTCTCGAGGCGCTGCGACTCACATAGCCTCAGAATGACCAATGATCTGGGCCAGCGGATGTCACGTGATCGTGGCACCGCTTCTGAATGTATTGCCTCACACTCGCGTCGCACTTGTGTTAATGGGCAACTGCGTTTATCATGTTCATGGGAGTAGGCGACGTTTGTGAATGCGGGCATGGTAAGATACCACAATCAGAGGAAACCTCACAAGAACCCCTACCCCATCCCTATCCCTATCCCATCCTTCCTCCTTCCTCCTCCTCCCTCCTCCTCCACCTCCTCCTCCTCCTCCTCCTCATCATCATCATCAACATCATCATCATCATCATCATCATCATCATCATCATCATCATCATCATCATCATCATCATCATCATCATCATCATCATCTTAATCTTCATCATCATCACCATCAGGGATCCTCATCCCCCTTGATCATCAGCGGTGGACGCCGCGGGGGAATCTCCATTCCACTTACTGTCGGGGTCCCAATCCGTCATCAACCCCGCGCAAAACATGTCTCTTCCATTGTTGAAACGGGGGGGGGGTTTACATATCTTTCGCGGTTATGAGGACATCGGTAGGCATCCTTCGACGAGGATCACAAATTAAGGATTCAACCCAAAATCTTGTGAGTTTAGGCTGCAGTGCACGGTGATCTTGGACTGGCGGGTGTGACGCTTCATCGGCCGTATCGCTGTCGTCGTTGTCATCTCCGCTGTCGTTGTCGTGACGGCGGCGGTGGTTGTGGTGTTGGTGACCGTCGTCGTCGTCTTCGTCGTCGTCGTCGTCGTCGTCGTCATCGTCGTCAGAAGAGGGAATACGAGGGGGGCGACGAGGTGGACGAGGAGGATGGAGTAGGGATTTTGAAGAGGGATAGGGATAATGATGATGATGATCCCGCTCTCCCGAGGAGGGTCGCTGATGAAGCTGATGAAAGTGCTGACGGTGATGATGATGATGATGATGATGATGATGATGATGATGATGATGATGATGATGATGATGATGACCGTGATGATGCTGATGCTGATGATGATGATGATGATGCTAATATGATGAAGGTGGTGGTGGTGATGGTGATGATGATGAACTCTGCTGCTGATGATGATGGTGATGATGATGCTAATACTGCTGCTGATGCTGATGCTGATGGTGGTGTGGTTATGGCTGTGGGGACGATTAGTGATGATGATGCCGATGATGAAGATGATGATGATGATGTTGTTGTTGTTGTTGTCGATTATGATAGTGGGATGGTGGTTGTGATGATGATGATGATGGTGATGCTGATTATGAAGATGACGACGACGATGATGGATGATGATGACGGTGATGATGATGCTGATGTTGATGAAGCTGATGAAGGTGCTGACGGTGATGATGATGATGCTGATGCTGATGATGCTGATGACGTTGAGGTTGACGAAGCTGATGAAGGTGGTGACGGTGATGACGATGAAGATGATGATGTTGATTCTGATGATGATGGTGTTGATGGTGATCATGATGAAGCTGTTGCTGCTGATGACGATGATGATGGTAATGATGATGCTAACACCGCTGATGATGCTGATGACGATGATGGTGGTGGTTATGGTGGTGGGGGTGATAGTGATGACGATGCCGATGATGATGATGCTGCTGTTTTTGTTGTCGATGATGATAGTGGGATGGTGGTTGTGATAATGATGATGATGATGATGATGATGATGATGATGATGGTGATGCTGATTATGATGATGACGACGATGATGGATGATGATAGCGGTGATGATGCTGATGTTGATGAAGCTGATGATGATGATGCTGATGATGCTGATGATGTTGAGGTTGATGAAGCTGATGGAGGTGCTGACGGTGATGATGATGTAGGTGATGATGATGATGTTGATTCCGATGATGATGCTGCTGCCAATGATGATGATGCTGATGCTGATGATTATGCTAATTATGATGATGGTGGTGGTGTTGATGGTGATAATGATGAAGCTGTTGCTGCTGATGATGATGGTGATGATGATGATGCTAACACTGCTGATGATGCTGATGACAATGATGGTGGTGGTTATGGTTGTGGGGATGATAGTGATGATGATGCCGATGACGATGATGCTGCTGTTGTTGTCGATGATGATAGTAGGGTGGTAGTTGTGATGATTATGTTGATGCTGTTTATGATGATGACGACGATGATTGATGATGATGGTGGTGATGATGATGCTGATGATGATGATGCTGATGATGATGACGATATCGATGATGTCGATCATGATTGTACTGATGGTGATGCTGATGCTGATGATGCTGATGATGATGACGCTTCTGATGTTGATGACGATGATGATGATGATGGTCATGATGATGATGCGTATGCTCATGATGATGTTGATGACGCTGATGATGATGATGACGATGATGAGGCTGATGATGATGATGATGATGATGATGATGATGATGATGATGGTGATGATGGTGATGATAATTTGGAGGGTAATCATGACGAGGAGGAGAAGGAGAAGGAATATGAGGAGGACGAGGATGAAGGACGGGTATTCTTGGCGCTTCGCGTATCCCCACCAGTAGTCGCCTCCCTGCTCGCCGCTTAGCCGGTTTTTTGACAGGTGCAACTTCAGCTGTGTTGCGTAATGCTGCGGCACATGGCCGTCCAAGTGGCGCGTCCGACGCTGGCACGCTCCAGCCCGGGCTGCACCGGCACCGTTCGGCCACCCCCCCTTCTTTCTACGTGACTACCGCGGCGGTTAGCTGCACCCCCCACACGTGTATACGTTCTCGGCGTGCAGCTGCCATCCAGTTACGTATCTCTTGCGGCGGTTAGCTGCACCCCCCTTCTCCACGCCAAGTCGCACTCTGCGGGCTGCAGGAGCCCTCTCGCAGCCGGTCGACACTGTGACTTCGGAAGGACGGCGGTGTCCACCGAGGTGAGGGTGACTGTGACGGGTTGCCTTGCCAGAGTGATGCCTCGCCCGCGTTTCTCGGCGCACCTTCCCTTTTCCACCGGTACCGACTCGTCCGTCGGCCGCCGCCAGCCCCAACAGCTCCGAAGTGGCGCACGTTGGCTGCGCGCTGAGTGGTCCAGCCTTCAGCGCCGACGGCCCTTGTTTTCCACCACCAGCAGCCGGTTTCCCGGGCTGGTGCCAGTTGTTTGTCTGGGGTGATGCTCGGAGCTTGGCGCCGCAAGGGCGACGTTCCGTAACACTTGCACCACTGTGCGCTCGTTCTTCTGGACCCGGCGGCGCCTAGGTGCGTCACTGCGAATGTGGAGCATTTTGCTCAGTGTGCAATTAGCCTGTGCCGCCGTCCCGGACACGCTTGTCGCCGCCAGACAATAGTCGCGCGGCCGCCAACCAAAAATCCCCACCAGGAGTCGCTTGCTCGGACGGAACGCACCGCCGATTGGGGTTCCTTTAGGTGCAGGTTTACTGTGGGCACTTATTTGGAGGTTCGTCCGCTGACGTGATGTGGTTACGCGGTATCGTTTCTGACGACCGCGGTGGTGTTCTGGTCCCACATTCGGCGCGTGCACTGTCGTAGCCGAGGGGAAGTTCGTCAAGGGTGACGTCGTCGCAGTTGGGCGCTGTCGAGCCCTCCGCCACTTGGGCTCGGTTGTTCTCGTCTTCTTAGCGCGGCGGTTGAGCTTCGGTGCGTGGCTTGCAATTTTCTGCCGCTCGTTCGCTGCATGCGCTTGGCCTCGTTTTTGGCCGCTTTAATTTTGGTCTTTGCTTCTTGGCATCTTCCTGCCGGCGAGCGGCTCTCCCGCTTGCGCTAGCGAGCAAAAAACCCCCGCCGGGCCA